CATTGCATCAAAATGATTCAACGTACAGAATTCAGTATTTTTTTTATATAAACTGTAATGTTTTTATATATTAAAGGTGGTACTGTTTGCTGTTTTTGTAAGAACTCAGTACTACATTTAAAAATTACATAAATAAAGATGTATTCAAACCCTCACGTACAGTCCTAGTGAAAGTCGTATTCTTGTTGTGAGGAGAGTAATTTTATCTAAAATTGTGTTCTATTATAAAGAAATGGTTGTTGCACATACCACAAGTATTTTTCTAATTGTCTGAATCTTGAATATCCAAAGTGTGAAATTTTTTATGGATTTGTTGTTTGTATTGCCATTCAGTTGATGGCACAGGAATTTTGGTCACATACATAGATACTGACATACATGCTTTGTCCATTATAATAAGAAGATTAGTGTTTATTTAAGTTTTCCCCATACTTTTTGCTGGACAAGCAAACTCGTGCATTGCATAGATATGCATAGTTCTGTTTTTCAGCTCTTCTGACACAGTTGTCACACGAGTATCATCTTGCCAGGAGGAACGAATACACATGCATTTTTACATTAACACGTACGATATGGAGAGCTCTGATATAAGTACTTTTTATTATGCTCCTAGAATCTCATAGAAAAACCTGAAGATAGTGATGTAAGCAAAGACAACGCTATAGCTATGGTACAATGTAAAGTTTTGAAGCAACTCGACATTCTCCAAGGTAGAAAGTTTGATGATCCCGACGTCATGGAAGATATCGAGTTTTTGAACGAGAAACTTTTAGCTAGTGTGCAAGATTTAAGGTGTTGTTGAATTTTTTTTATTCTGTGTTTGGACTGTTATGAACATAATTGAATTTATTTATTAAAATAAAGAAAAATTGTATACAATACGAAGTTAAATGTTAGAGGAGGATTAGTTGGAATTTGAATACTCAGTCATAAGTGTTTTGTGTAGCAGAATAGTTCATTTACACACTAGAATAGTGAGTCATAAGTGTTTTGTGTAGCAGAATAGATCATTTACACACTAGAATAG